TGTTGAGCTCCTTTTATCTTCTGATATCTTATCTTATGAACTTCATGGTCTGGTCCCATCCCAGCGTGGGTCTGCGAGAGTCTCCTTTATCCGATAACCTCAGCATCGCTCTGACCACACAGCCTACGAAAGCACAACGCTGTCCTCTGCTGTTGCGGGAGGACACAGAGAAATAAATACCGACACACACAGCAAGGCAAACTCAGCTGTTTATTGCCAGTGTCACCCAGGGAAGGGGGAATCAACCACAAACCAAGGCAAACCCCCCGTGGTGCATCTCCCACCAGCCGGGGCAGTGCCGACTCCTGTCCACAGCGGCTCTGAGGTCGGCGGCATCTGCAACGGGATGGGAGAGGAGGGTCAGGAAGGGGGGCCATGCCTTGTGTGGCAGCGGTGGTGGCTTTCTAACCCAGCTCCAGCATGCCCAGCTTACCAGAATATGCCCATCTGCCTCCTCCGGTTGATGTCTCTCTTAAGCTGGCAAAGGGAGCACGGGGAGCAGCACATGGCGGTACAGAAGTCAGAGCAGATGGACCCCTGTCAGGAAGAAGCCCCAAGCCCTCATTTCAGCTCAAAGGTTAATCACATTCTACATCATGTGCCCTTTGTTTCGTCCCCAGTAGCAGCCACTAAAAACTGGAGGTTTGGGAACTGGTGGGTTCCTCGGGGGCTGGCAAACCCCAACACCATGGGAAGGAAGAAGGAAACCCTTTCTTCAGGCATCAGGTAGCTACTTATCTTTCAGCTCTGGAGGTTCAGACTGGGGGAAAATGCCCACAGCAAGAGGCAATTTGGGCAAACTGGACTGGGGCCACCATGGTTGGCACTGGGGACAGCATGAACCCTTTGAATATATGGACTGCCTACGAATGCCCACTTTTCTCCCAGTTTGTCTGTGCAACCGACTTAATCTGTTCTTTATCCTGCCCACAATTATCTCAAATCTTTCCCATCTTGCAAAGCCTGGTGATGGGCTGGGGAAGCAGCAGCCAAAGGCAGGACGTGTGTCCCTGGAGAAGGGTGCTGGGGAGGAGCTGCCTCGATTAACGCAGGTTGTTGGACACCAGCCCAGGGACTGGCGTGGCTGAGGGCATCCCAACCCCTGTCCTGTGCTCCCAGCGTCATGCCAGATATGAAAATGGAGGGGGGGGGGGGGGGAGGGGGGGGAGCGGGCAC